TTGACAATATTGATTCTTCCAATCCAAGAACATGATATATCCTTCCATCTGTTTGTGCCATCTTCGATTTCTTTCATCAGCATCTTATAGTTTTCAGAGTACAGGCCTTTTGCCTCTTTAGGTAGGTTTATTCCTAGGTATTTTATTCTTTTTGATGCGATGGTAAATGGGATTGTTTCCTTAATTTCTCTTTCTGATCTTTTCATTGTTAGTGTATAGAAATTCAAGAGATTTCTTTGTATTAATTTTTTTTATCCTGCAACCTTACCAAATTCATTGATGAGCTCTAGTAGTTTTCTGGTAGCATCTTTAGGATTTTCTATGCATAGTATCATGTCATCTGCAAATGGTGACAGTTTTTCTTCTTTTCCAATTTGGTTTCCTTTTATTTGTTTTTCTTCTCTGATTGCCGTAGCTAGGACTTCCAAAACTATGTTGTATAAAAGTGGTGAGAGTGGACAACCTTGCCTTTTTCCTGATCTTAGAGGAAATGCTTTCAGCTCATTAAGTATGATGTTAGCTGTGGGTTTGTCATATATGGTCTTTATTATGTTGAGGTAGGTTCCCTCTATGCCCACTCTCTGGAGGGTTTTTATAAATCGGTGCTGAATTTTGTCAAAACCTTTTGCTGCTTTTGAGATGATCACATGGTTCTTATTCTTCAATTTGATGTGGTGTAATACACTGATTTGTGGATATTGAAAAATCCTTGCATCCCTGGGATAAATCCCAGTTGATCATGTTGTATGATCCTTTTAATGTATTGTTGGATTTGGTTTCCTAGTATTTTGTTGAGGATTTTCGCGTCTAAGTTCATCAGTGATATTGGCCTGTAATTTTCTTTTTTTTGTGGTTTATCTTTGTCTGGTTTTGGTATTAGGGTGATGGTGGCCTCATAGAATGAGTTTGGGAGTGTTCTTTCCTCTGCAATTTTTTGGAATAATTTGAGGACAGGTGTTGACTGTTCTCTAAATGTTTGATCGAATTCACCTGTGAAGCCATCTGGTCCTGCACTTGTGTGTGTTGGAATCTTTTAAATCACAGTTTCAATTTCAGTACTTGTGATTTGTCTGTTCATATTTTCTATTTCTTCCTGGTGCAATCTTGGAAAGTTGTACCCTTCTAAGAATTTGTCCATTTCTTCTATATTGGTATATAGTTGCTTGTAGTAGTCTTTTATGATCCTTTGTATTTCTGTGGTGTCCACTGTAACATGTTTTTCATTTCTAATTTTATTGATGTGACCCTTCTCTTTTTTTCTTGAGTCTGGCTAAAGGTTTCTCAATTTTATTTATCTTTTCAAGGAACCAGCTCTTAGTTTCATTGATCTTTTCTATTGTTTTCTTCATCTCTATTTCATTTATTTCTGCTCTGATGTTTATGATTTCTTTCCTTCTACTAACTGGGTTTTGTTTGTTCTTCTTTCTTTAGTTGCTTTAGGTGTAAGTTTCGGTTGTTTGAGATTTTTCTTGTTTCTGAGGTAAAATTGTATTGCTACAAACTTCCTCTTATAACTGCTTTTGCTGCATCTGATAGGTTTTGGATCATCGTGCTTTCATTTTCATTTGTCTCTAGGTATTTTTTGGTTTTGTCTTTGATTTCTTCAGCAATCCATTGGTTGTTTAGTAGCATATTGTTTAGCCTCCACGTGTTTGTGATTTTTACATTTTTCTTCTCGTGTAGTTGATTTCTAATCTCATAGTATTGTGGTCAGAAAAGATGCTTGATACGATTTTAATTTTCTTAAATTTACCAAGGCTTGCTTTCTGGCCCCCAGCATGTGACCTATCCTGGAGAATGTTCTGTGTGCACTTGAGAAGAATGTGTATTCTGCTGCTTTCCGATGAAATGTTCTATAAATATCAATTACATTCATCTGGTCTAATGTGTCAATTAAGGCCTTTTTTTCCTTTTGGATTTTCTGTCTGGGTGATCTGTCCATTGATGTAAGTGGGATGCTGAAGTCCCCCACTATTCTCTTACTGTGAATTTTTTCCTTTTATGTATGTTAACATTTGCCTTATGTATTGAGTTGCTCCTGTGTTGCCTGCATACATATTTACAATTGTTATATCTTCTTCTTGGATTGGTCCCTTGATCATTATGTAGTGTCCTTCTTTGTCTCTTGTAACAGTCTTTATTTTAAAATCTATTTTGTATGATATGAGTATTGCTACTCCAGCTTTCTTTTGATTTCCATTTACATGGAATACTTTTTTCCATCCCCTCACTTTCATCTGTATGTGTCTCTAGATCTCAGGTGGGTGTATCCATTCAGCCACTCTGTCTTTTGGTTGGAGCATTTAATCTATTTACATTTGAGGTAATTTATCAATATGTATGTTTTTATTGCAATTTTGTTAATTGTCTTGGGTTTGTTTTTGTAGGTCTTTTTTCTTCCCTTCCTCTTTTGTTCTCTTGTGATTTGATGACTATCTTCAGCGTTGTGTTTGGATTGCTTTTTCTTTTTTGTGTATCTACTGTCGGTTTCTGGTTTGTGGTTATCATGAGATGTAGCAGCCTATATATAAAGAAGATTGTTTTAAGTTGCTGGCCTTTTAATTTCAAATGCATTTCCAGTATCCCGCATTTTTATTCTCCTCTACCCACGATTGCTGGTTTTGATATATTTGTGTGTGGACAAATACGTATGCTTACTTTTACTGGTGAGCTTTACCATTCATAATTTTGTTTCTAGTTGTGGCCTTTTTATTTTTTGCTGCATTGGGTCTTTGTTGCTGCATGTGGGCTTTCTCTAGTTGTGGCGAGCAGGGGCTACTCTTCATTGTGGTGCACAGGCTGTAGGCACGTAGTCTTCAGTAGTTGTGGCACACAGGCTCAGTAGTTGTGGCACACGGGCTTAGCTGCTCCACAGCATGTGCGATCTTCCTGGACCAGGCATTGAACTAGTGTCCCCTGCATTGGCAGGAGGATTCTTAACCACTGCACCATCAGGGAAGTCCACTGTGGCCTGTTCTTTTCTGCCTAGAGAAGTTCCTTTAGCATTTGTTGTAAGGCTGGTTTGGTGGTGCTGAATTCTCTCAGCTTTTGCTTGTCTGTAAAGCTTTTGATTTCTCTGTTGAATATGAACTAGAGCCTTGCTGGATAGAGTATTCTTGGTTGTAGGTTTTCCCCTTTCATCACTTTAAATATATCATGCCACTCCCTTCTGGCCTGCAGTTTCTGCTGAAAAATCAACTGATAACCATATGGGGACTCCCTGGTATGTTTTTATTGCTGTTCCCTTGTTGCTTTTAATATTTTCTCTTTGTCATTAATTTTTGTCATTTTGATTAATGTGTGTCTCGGCATGTTCCTCCTTGGGTTTATCCTGTAAGGGACTCTCTGCACTTCCTGGACTTGTTTCCTTTCCCATGTTAGGGAAGTTTTTAAGTTACTATCTCTTCAAATATTTTCTCAGGCCCTTTCTCTCTCTTTTCTCTTTCTGGGACTCCTATAATGTGAATGTTGGTGTGTTTAATGTTGTCTCAGTGGTCTCTTAGACTGTCTTTTCTTTTCATTCTTTATTCTGTTCCACAGCAGTGATTTCCACCAATCTGTCTTCCAGTTCACTTACTCTTCTGCGTCATTTATTTTGCTATTAATTCCTTCTAGTGTATTTTTCATTTCAGTTATTGTATTGTTCACCTGTTTGTTCTTTAAATCTTCTAGCTCTTTGTTAAACATTTCTTGTATCTTCTCAGTCTGTGCTTCCACTCTTTCTCTAAGATCTTGGATCAATTTTACTATCATTACTCTGAATTCTTATTCAGGCAGATTGCCTATCTCCACTTCACCTAGTTGTTTCTGGGGTTTTACATTGTTCCTTCATCTGGACCATATTTCTTTGCCATCTCATTTTGTTGAACTTTGTTTGTGGTCTCCATCTCAGGCTACAGGTTTGTAGTTCCTCTTGCTTCTGCTGTATGTCCCCTTGTGGGTGAGGTTGTTCTGGGGGTTTTTGCAGGCTTCCTGGTGGGAGGGACTGGTGGGTGGAGATGGGTCTTGTACCTCTGGTGGGCAGGGCCACTTCAAGGGGGTGTGTTTAGAGGCAGCTGTGGACTCATGACTTTAGACAGGCTGCCTGCTATAGGTGGGGCTGTGTTCCCACTCTGTTGGTTGTTTGGCCTGAGGTGGCCCAGCACTGAAGCCTACAGGCTGTTGGGTAGGGCCAGGTCTCACTGCCAAAATGGCAACCTCTGGGAGAGCTCACACTGATGAATACTCCCTGGAGCCTCCACCACCAGTGTCTTTACCCCCACAGTGAGCCACAGCTGACTCCTGCCTCCCCAGGAGACTCTCCAAGACCTGAAGGTAGGTCTGGCCCAGGCTCCTATGGAGTCACTACTTTGTGGTGGTTCCCAGTGCTCATGATACCTTGTGTGTGTGTGTGCTCCCCAAGTCCCTGTTTCCCTCAGTCCTGTGGAGCTCCTGCACTCAAGCCCCGCTGGCCTTCAAAGCCAAATGCTCTGTGAGCTTCTCCTCCTGACGCCAGACCCCAGGCTGGGGCTCAGAACTCTCAGTCTTGTGGGAGAGCCCCTGTGATATAATTATTTTCCTGTGTGTGTTGCCTACCTGGCAGGTACAGGATTTGGTATCACAAAAGTGCCCCTCCTACCATCTCATTGTGGCTTTGTCTTTGGACGTAGAGTACCTTTTTTGGTAGGTTCCAGTTTTTTCATCTATGGTTGTTTACCAGTTAGTTGTGATTTTGGTGTTTTTGTGATAGGAGGTGAGTTCAAGTCCTTCTACTCTGCCATCTTGTCTCCTCCTTCAAGAGTATTTAATTTTAAAAATGTCCAGTTTGTTTTCTTGGCTTGTGATTTTGGTTCTAAGGTATGTAACTAACTGGAAATAGCAGTGCATGCAGAATTATTTATACCATAGTAATCTATTTTTGTAAAAAATGATGAAGGATGAGGAGATATATATACATATATTTGTGTTTGCCTGTGTATGCACAAACTGATAAGTTTTATAAGAAACTGAAAATAGTAGTTATCTCTGGTGGGAGAGAACAGGGATGGGAGCCACAGGTGGGAAGGAGAATTTGTATCATTTTATTTCATTTATTAATATGAAATTAAAAAATTTTCAAAATGCAGTGATTAAATCTAGAATTCTGCTAACACAGTGAATAAAACAATAAACATGAACTCAAAAATGCAAGAAAGATTTAAAGACCATATGTGCATATAGTAAAGTCAAATAAAAATAGTATGGAGTGAGTTTCTTTCTTACTCCTGACTCCTAGTCCTTCAGTGTCACCACCCTTACCTGTATCTCATGTAGCCTACCAGAGATGTTCTGTGACTATACAAGTGTACATGTACGTACACATACCGTCCCCCCACCCTTTTTAAAAATCAAATAGAAACTGACTTCAAACACCATTCTGAAACATGCTTTTTACTTAACAATAGAGTTTGGAGATTGTTCTACAATGATGTAGAATCTAAATCAAGATGTACAGGCCTACTTTATTTTTAAATAGGCTATATAGTTTTAACATATAAATATGTCATCTAACTAGTTCCTTGCTAATGAATTTTAAGGTTGCTTCCACTCTATTTTTACCACAATGTTGCAGTGCAAAGATACATATCTTTGCACATATATGTGTACATATGTTTTTGCATATGTGTGCAATGTATATATGATGAATAAGTGTGTGATAGTGTGTGTGTGTACTTATTGTGGAATTGTTGGGTTAAGGATATATATGCTTTTAACATTTTCATGTATTTTCTAATGGAGCTCTAAAATCAACTTATCAAAAACATCCTTTTGAGATTGTGCTTGGAAGCACCTCTTGGAAGGCAGATCTAGTGGTAATGAACTCTCTCAGCTTTAGTCTGTGTGGGCAAGTCTTTATCTCTCCTTCATTTCTGATGGAAAACTTTGCCAGAGTATTCTTGGTTGGCAGTTTTCTCTCAGCACTTTGAATATATCACCCCACTGTCTCCTGGCCTGTAAGGTTTTCACTGAGAAATCTGCTAATAGTATGGAGGGTCCCTTTTAAGTTACAAGCTTCTTTTCTCTTGCTGCTTTTAAGATTCTTTGTCTTTTATAGTTTTATTATAGCATGTCTTGAAGAGGGTCTCTTTGAGTTTGGTGACCTTATGAATTTGGATATCCAAATTTTCCCTCAGATTTGGGAAGTTCTCAGCCATTATTTCTTTAATAAGCTGTCTGCCCCCTTCTCCCTCTGAAACTCTAATAATTTGCAAGTTGTTTCTTTTGATTGTATCCCATAGATCACGTAGGCTTTCATTATCCTTTTTCATTCTTTGTTTTCCTCTGACTGAATAATCACAAAGCTCCCATCTTCTACCTCAGAGATTCTTTCTTCTGACTGACACATTCTGATATTGATGCTACTATATTTTTCATTTCATTCACTGTATTTTTCTACTTCAGAATTTCTGTTTGGTCCTTTATGATTTTTCTTTGTTAAACTGCTCATTTTATTCAAGTATTTTCTTGATTTCATCAAATTGTCTATTCTTGTAGCTCACTGAGCTTCCTTAAACAGTTATTTTTCATTCTTTATCAGGTAAATCACAGATCTCCATGTCTTTGGAATCAATTACTGGATTATCATAATCCTTTGGTAGTGTCATGTTCTTAAGTTTTGCTTTGTTGTCTTTGTATCTGAAGTAGCAGTTGCTTCCTCTAGTCTTTACTAACTGCTTCAGCAGAGAACTAACTTCAGTCATCCCTGCTAGAGATTCTGAGGCTTCCTCAGATCAGCTATGGGTAAGCCTGCTCCACACTTCTTGGCCTCTTATGGCAGAATCCTTAAGCTTGTATATCTTCTCTTGAGTCTGCAATGCAAAAGGTTAGGTGCTGACAACCTCCCTTCTGCTTTCCCAAGTGTGGGGCTAAAGCTCACATCTGTGGTCTCCCTTGGGCCTGCAGATTCAGTTGGGCTTTTTTTGCATGTTCACTAGCCATCTGCCAAAGCTTGCTCTTGATGCTATCAGGGGTGAGACAGGAAGCCACAGAGTTGGGGGTGTGTGTGGGTGAGGCACATGGAGCACTACTGGTTCCCATGGGCTGGTCAGGGAGACCCACAGGTAAGGTGTCCCCAGTGCCATGTGGGCTAGCTTCTTGATGGGACTGTGAGTTAGTAGGCTCTGTGACTCTTTAATGCCCTCCAAGAGTCCTATCTGCTATTCTCCTAGCACCTTCCCACCCCCTCATCATGCAGCTCAAGATTCAGTAGTCTGGATGAGGCAAGAGAGAAATGGGCCCCTTTGGTGGCTTCCCACATAGTTGGAGAAGCTGGGTACTCAGTCACTTGCATTTTCCCCTCCAGGAGAAATCATGGGCTGAGAAGGTCTCTCTTGGCCCTGAACTGTGCCACCTTGAGGGAAGGATAATGAGGATAAAATCAAACTGTTCCTCTTCAAAGCATCTAAACTCATTTATTGCTCCAAAAATGTGCTGAAAATTCTCCACTGGAAACCCAGACTTTCACAAAGGTGCTCTTGTCTGTGGGTGACTGTCTAAGATAGTACTTTCCAAGGGTTTCCACACTGCAGCCGAGAGGGCCTGGAGCTGGTTCGCAGGCCACTGCAGGGTCCAGGCCAGGACCTAGGTCTGTATGCCTATAAGCCAATGCATGGGCAGGAAAGATTCCTACCAGGTTGCCTGGTGATTCCTACAAAGTTGCTTGGTGTTGGATCCCCAAGCTCCCACCAGGTCATTTCTGTCTGTATATGGATACCAAATTGCTGTGGGTGGAGGACACAAATGAGGGGAAGCTTTTTCAGCCATGCTGATGTCACTTCTGAAGCTGGTCATCTTTTGTTAGGATAACTGGATAGCTGGGAAGAAATGAATGCTCAGTAATCTCTTAGTGGTCAGATATCTGCTCTTTGCTTCGTCCTCTTTCTTTAGGTACAATTCTTTTCAGTTCTGAAGGCTAGAAGTTCAAGATCAAGGTGTTGGAAAGCTTGATTTTTCCTGAGAACCATAAGGGAAGGATCTGTTCGGGGCCTCTCTCCTTGGCTTGCAGATGGCTGCCCTCTTGCTTCCTCTTCATGTGCTTTTCCCTCTGCATACTTGAAATTCCACATATTCTTAAAGCTAGCTAACACACACTGGTATTTCTCATCCTGGCAGTTTCAAGATATTAATTCCTTTAGCCACTAGAATCAGAGTGAACAAAAATGAATGAAATCATAGCCAGCTGACAAGGCTTTCACAAGTGCCATAAAGGTTTGAATTCAAAGACCAAGACACTTAAAGTGCTGACTCCCTTGGGCATCTGCTGAAGGGCTCAAAGGATCTCCTCAGGGCCTGTGATGACCCAAGCAACTGTATTCTTGGTCTACTCCTTCCCCTAGGCTAAAGTTGCTCAGGTTCCAAACAAGCCTCGCAAAGAGTGGTAATAAAATACTGTAAATACTCACTACTTTGCAAGTGATCTTTGTCTCTGTGCTTCAAACACATGAACAGGCCCATTTATTATGGTTTACATTCTTTTGGTAACACTTTTTGGGTATGGTACTGGCAGTGCTGTAACCTGGGTGTGTGCCACTCTTCCTCACTGGACTGTGGAACATTTCTTGTCTTCATCAGAGGACCTCTGACACTCAGCACAGATTCTGCTCCTCAGTTGGTTCTGCATAAAAGTTTATTCAATAAACGAACAGGGTAGTAAATTAAGACAGAATTTTCCCTCTCTCCTTTTCCCTATGCCCCATGGGAGTATATGCTAATTAGGGGAACTAATTAGGGGAAAGGTAGAGTGTGGCAAATATATTTCTCTATAAATAAGAATACTAGAAGACAAACATGATTGATATTTTCAATAATTACAATAAAAAACCCAGAAATACCACAATAAAAATATAATTAGGCTTTAAAAGAACAGAAGTTTGCATGCATATATATCCAAATAGTTCATTTAAGAACCTCAGTGCTATTTATTTCTATTACAGCTAGACACAAAATGCTCAAAGATTGAAAATATAAAGAAATGAAGACTATGGATTTATGTTTGCAGACTATTTTACTTTGAAACTGTCTGGTGTGAAAACCTAACAAACAGTTTATTAGAATTTGTATTTGATACAACTATATGTTAGAATTTCAGTGGAAAAAATTGTAGTAAATGACTATTCTAATTAAAACGAATATGATCTTCAACTATTCTCCTAAGTACTGCTGCTGTAATTTTCTATTTATAAAAACTTTCATTTTAGAGAAAACTGACCTTAATGCTATTTCAAGAAAAAGAATAAACATTAAATCTTCAATCTCAACTTTTAAAGCTTAGAGCTCTTTATTTCTGCTAATCTTAAACTACTTTTGGTTCATTGCTAACTTTTGAAATATCTTAATGTGATTTTAAGGTCTTTTTTTTTTGGTCTGGATAGTGCTCATATTTTTTGTCCTTATACCAAAGCAGTAAGGCAAGAAAGTGTTTCCTTTTTCAGATCACGTAATATCTATCCATTTTAAAATTCAGGGACTACAACCACTACAAACAATCCTACCAATAGGAAATTAAGGCTGCTGTGATTTTCCTTTATATTTAAACCATAACATAAGATTAGCAGTGTTATTGCCTACAAATGCTGAATTTATAATCATTTGACCTTAAGTCACAGGACATAAATATTGCCATTTCTGTCTGTACTTCAACTCCAGCTAATAAGACATTGTTTTCACAGTTACCTTTGATAAGTCTGAAGATGAAGTCAGAAAACACTACACAAAGCTAAAACTGGATGACTCTGCTACAAAGAAATAATGCTTGAGAGGACAAGAGTGGTCTTCTGGTGTCTGGTTAGTGTTGGTGCACTGTGCCCCCAGTGCAGGTCACACTCCAGCCAGCATGACACAGGTATGGGCACCTTCAGTACTCTAAAGGGCCTTGCCTTCTACTGCCAAAGGTGAAATGCGTGGCTTTGCAAGAACTACCAGGTGCCAATTAGAGTATATCATGTTTGTTGGAGGTTTGTTGAAGTATATCATTCTTTGAGGCGCCCTTCCAGATATGTGAAAGAGAAAAATCCCATAACCTTGTCTGCAAAAGAGTTTCTAAAATATGAATGTGAACCAGACTTTGCAGTATACATCTACCAGTGTTAGCACCATATTTAAGTGTGAATTGAGGTAAAGATAAACTCTCAGATAGACTTTGGGTAGAAATTACAGTAGCAATTTTGAATGGGGTGTTTACAGCAGTATTCTTTCTGATTAAGTTTGATAAACTACTTGATCCCAAGTATACCTATTATACCTATCCAAGTATATATTGAAATTGATAAATTACAAAGCTCTAGATATAAGCTTTTAGCAGGAGAAATGTAGTAAAACAGAACTCATATTCTTGAAATTCAAACTATGTCATTATTGGCTTGATGAAGTCAAAGATTTTGATAAAATACTGAGCCAGTATCACAAAGCCAGTTTATCAAATGACAATGCCCAGAAATTCTGTTTCTCAGAGTATATAGTCAAGCTTACTGTAGATGCTACCCAGTCAACATACAGCTCCTACATGATATGTCCCCTGCTCATTGCTCCATTTAATAAAAAAAGGTAAGTAGCTTCTCTCTTCCCCAACTATTTTGATTTATGTAGAGAAACCTCTGAGACTTGGGAAGCAAAGACCCTAAAACTTGGTTAAAATTTTGAAGGTGTCCAGTATGTTTCAGCAGATGAAAACCAAATTTAGTTAAGGGATAACTGGACAAAATATGGTAATCTTCTACTTTAGTTCCTATAAGCTAATAAGGTGAAACAATAATGTGTAAAATAAAGAACTATGAAAACTTTTCAAATTGCTTTTCCCCTCCCTTTAACATTACTTAACATATAAGAAAATAAGAAATCTTAAATTTCTTATTTTCTAGCTTTTGGGAGCATAACACAGACTAATTTTTCAAAGGAGAATAATTACCATTATTTATTAAATAAAATATTACCTTGAAGTTTGAACAACACAGGAATTCCATCTCTAGTAAGAGCTGGTCTTGGTTCTCAGGCAGAAGTTTATCACTCAATTTGACCAAGATTCCTAAAAAACACCCATCAGCAGTATTTTCATCTGACTGTTGAGATTCAGCTGAAAACAGGAGTAACTTTCCCCTGTAGCCTATAGAAACATTTTAGGGAAACAGTTTAAAGTTTGTTCTTAACCTAAATATTCAGCTGAATACTGCAGACCATTCTTCAGAAAACTCATGTAAACAGTCATTCTTCTTTTATAAATCTGCTGGTGCTAACTGCACCTAACTGGTAATATACATGGAGGTATAACTTAGCTATGTTTGCAAGAATGCTAATTAATATATAAGATCTTTCAGTTCCCTGTCAGTCAGTTCATTCACTTCCATGATCTTCTCTAAGTGTTCCATATATCGGCCATGGTCCTGCAGAAAGTGAGGGACCCTCATGTTTTCAGTAACTGCCAATCCTTTTAAGCGATCCACATCTTCATAAGAGACCTGAAAAAAGGAAGATGGGTTACTTTTTAAATGTGACTACCAGTTAAATTTTGAAGAGCAACTTCTTCCTTTGGTCTTAAGTGAAACTTTATGTAGACTGTTTCTGAAATTACTCCCTGATACCTGGAAAATGACAAAATTTACTGTGTTAAATAAGAACGTATTTATCTGCCCCTTCATACCATGACTATATATATATATTTTAACATCTTTATTGGAGTATAATTGCTTTACAATGGTGTGTTAGTTTCTGCTTTACAACAAAATGAATCAGTTTTATATATATACATATTTTCCCATATCTCTTCCCTCTTGCGTCTCCCTCCCTCCCACCCTCCCTATCCCACCCCTCCAGGTGGTCACAAAGCACCGAGCTGATCTCCCTGTGCTATGCGGCTGCTTCCCACTAGCTATCTACCTTACGTTTGGTAGTGTATATATGTCCATGCCTCTCTCTCGCTTTGTCACAGCTTACCCTTCCCCCTCCCCATATCCTCAAGTCCATTCTCTAGTAGGTCTGTGTCTTTATTCCTGTCTTACCCCTAGGTTCTTCATGACATTTTTTTTCTTAAATTCCACATATATGTGTTAGCATTCGGTATTTGTCTTTTTCTGACTTACTTCACTCTGTATGACAGACTCTAGGTCTATCCACCTCATTACAAATAGCTCAATTTCGTTTCTTTTTATGGCTGAGTAATATTCCATTGTATATATGTGCCATATCTTCTTTATCCATTCATCCGATGATGGACACTTAGGTTGCTTCCATGTCCTGGCTATTGTAAATAGTGCTGAAATGAACATTGTGGTACCTGACTCTTGATGAATTATGGTTTTCTCAGGGTATATGCCCAGTAGTGGGATTGCTGGGTCATATGGTAGTCCTATTTGTAGTTTTATAAGGAACCTCTGTACTGTTCTCCATAGTGGCTGTATCAATTTACATTACCACCAACAGTGCAAGAGGGTTCCCTTTTCTCCACACCCTCTCCAGCATTTATTGTTTCTAGATTTTTGGATGATGGCCATTCTGACTGGTGTGAGATGGTATCTCATTGTAGTTTTGATTTGCATTTCTCTAATGATTAGTGATGTTGAGCATTCTTTCATGTGTTTGTTGGCAGTCTGTATATCTTCTTTGGAGAAATGACCATGACTATATTTTTAAAAATCTAGTCAGTATTTGATTTAACAATCTATCTTGGATCTACAGTTTGTCTAGAAATTGAACAACTAAACTTAATATGTGTGTGAAAGACTGAACCTAAACAAATCTCCTGCCTAAATCTAAATATAAGAATTGGGACTTCTCTGGTGCTCCAGTGGGTAAGACTCCATGCTCCCAATGCAGGAAGCCCAGGTTCGATCCCTGGTTGGGGAACTAGATCCTGCATGCATGCTGCAACTAAGAAGCCCACATGCCACAATGAAGATCCCACGTGCTGCAACTAAGACCCAGTGCAGCCAAAATAAATAAATAAGTAAATAAATAAGAAAATAATTAGAATGTAAATACATTCTAAATTATTAAGTTAGGAAAATCAGCACAATTATACATTAAATTCCTTTTTCTATTTAATTGGAGAAATAAAATAATGTTTTGTGTTAAAAATATCAAAATAAAAGCAAGAGAATTTAAGTATTTTTAAAAATTTCACATCTCTTTCATTCACTTGAGTAAGAAGCCAGTCTTTCATAAATATTATATTAATTTATAGAACTTAAAGTTTCACCCCTAAACTTATCTTTCAACTTTTAAATTCCAAAACATAGCTGGCTTTAAGAACTATTATCTTCTGATCAACACTCTTCCTGATTCAGTAGGAAGGCTTTAAATAAATCATGTTCATATTAAGTTTTACTTATATTTCAGTTAAAATTGAGTATTATCACTAATGTAATAGGTTATAGGAAATAGGTTTGGTGTTGATATTGGCATGGTTTTGTAATTTATCTTAAACCACTCTAAGTTTATTATAAGGAGAGAATGAGTAAATATACTGATGTTGGGAAATAAGGTTCTCATTTTAAGAAAAGAGATACATATATGGAATGGGGAATGCCCTTATGATTTAAAATAAATATATGATATGCTCATTGACAAGGTCTAGAAGCATCAGCACCCGAGTAGTGATGTGCACACCTCGTGCTCAAGTCTTGTTTTCTAAATACCATTTCCCACTAAAAAGAATCAAGACTTCCTTAGAGAAACATCTAATCTCAGATTTGGGTAGGAAAAGTGTAAGGTGAGCCCAGAATATTTTACTTTGCTTAAAAACATGTAGACATGTTTTAAAAACCACAGGAGTAGCCATTGGAAGAGCTGAATAAAAAAGTGGAGGGAAATGTAACAGAATTCAAAGATCTCTATTTTGCTACCACCAGTGTAGTAACTGATTTGGGCAAAAATCATCAATTGATGTTAAAATCATTTCTGGAAAGGCTATTAGACAATGGTACATTTGAAGGTATCATCCCACAAATTACTTATTAATGGAGGAAAGGTACCATTATAATGGAGAGATCTGGCAGTAACTAACCCAGGTGATTATACACAGTATCACCAATACTGGGACAAAATATCTCTCTAATGTGATGCACTGAAAAATGCATGACTCACTTTAGTATTCTTGGCAAAAACGTTTAACCTAAAGCTAATTACAAGGAAACAATCTGATAGTCCAGATTCTAGGAATTCTCAAGGAAATTTTCTTGGATTCTTAAAAATGTCATAAAAAAAGACTACGGTGAGGGGGACTGTTATAAATTAAGAGATTAAAGATGATAAGCGAATGCAAGGCATAAATCTTGACTGGATCCTGGGTCATGAAAAAGAGCTACAAAGGACATTTTGGAGATGATCTGGGGAATATAAAATAGACTTTTTTTTAGATATTATATGGAATCAATGATAAATTTCTTTAGAAAACATATGGTCACGTCAGAATATCCTTATTCTTGGGAGCTACATACTGAAGTATGAAGGGGAGTAGAGTTATACCTGCAGCTTACTTTAAAATACTTTAGGAAAATATGCATATAAAAACTAATAATATATTCCCAAATTTCCTATTCCCTTCTTTATCTCTTATTGTCCACAAAGGAATATTGTAATTTGGTTCTGTGACAGAACCTCATTTCTTCCCTCCTGTTATCACATAAAGGAAAACTACTCCAACAATAAAATAAAAAGTTTCAACTTGAGTCTTATTTAATCATGAAATGAGCTGGATGAAGTGTTGACCTGGTACGTTTGCAGACTCTGTGCCATTGGTTTCACTCACCTTCCCCAGGGCCGTAAGTAGGTGAAAGTCAATGGTCTCTCTATATCGGAGGATTTGCAGGATACCATCCAAGTATACCTGGTCTTTACTGAAACACCCTGGAGGAACCAGAACAGTGTTTACTTTCTGATGTTTAAAAAAATTATTAAGTAACTAAATACCAGCCCATTCACTTTACTGTAGGAGTCAGTCCTGTACTTAAAAAATAAATAGGGCAAATTAGAAATTTAACTATAATCATAACATAAAATGTAAGGTGTTGAGAAGTACCACAGTAACTACAGCCTAGTAGCTTCCCTTTAAGAATTCCTTCTCCCTGGCTCCCCACTCCCCATAATTAAAACAGCATTTTTCCCTAAAGCAACACAGAGCAGAAACTAACACAACACTGTAAAGCAATTATATTCCAATAAAGATGTTAAAAAAAATTATCCCATCCTCACCTCTACCATTTGATCATAAGCTTAACTTCCATGACTGACTGAAGGCATTTGGGTGGGGAGGGCTGGGAGAGGATAGTTGTAGAGTAGTTAAGTTTCAAAAGGGGCCAATGTGGAGACATGGGATTTCAGAAATTCCTGGGTTTTTTATAAGAAGTAATACCCTTTACCCCAATTAAGTTAACTGTAGGTGATTTTGATACTATTCCTCCCTATAAAAATGAGAATTAGAACTGGATTTTAAAGCATATGAAAAAATATGCAATAGACAGGAAAATTAGGAATAGCTCATGAGATCTGTGCTTAGATAAAAAATGGTATTCTGCTTACAAAGAAACCCTTTCTCCCATCATGACATAACTTATGTAAATTTTAAAAAATTTTGCTCTAGAATTAAATGGACTAGAATTCTACCAAATGGAGAGTCATACAATAAGAAATTATTGTTGATGAGTTCCCAAGACGGTGGACTAAGAGGGCCCTGAGCTCACCTCCTCTCACGGGCACACACCAAAATTACAATTATTTACAGAGCAACTGCGAGTGAGAAAGACTGGAACCTACCAGAAAAGATTTCTATAACTAAAGATATAAAGAAGGAACCACAACTAGATGGGTAGGAGGGGAGAAACTGCAGTATAGTCAAGACCCAGATCCTGAGGTGAGAGACCTACAAATGGGAAGATAATTGTAAGTATAGAGGTTCTTCAGAAGGAGCAAGAGGTAAGAGACCCACATCAAGCTCCCCAGCCCAGGGGTCCTGTGCTGGGAAGACGAGACCCCAGAATGTTTGGTTTTGAAGGTCAGAGGAACTTACTTTCAGGAGACCCAGAGGGCTGTGGAAAAGAAAGACCCCACTCTTAAAGGGTGCACACAAAATTTCACATGCTCTGGGACACAGGGAAGCAGCAGTAATTTGAACAGAGCCTGGGTCAGACCTACTGGTGATCTTGAAGAGCCTCCCAGAGAGGCAGGAGGCAAATGGAGCTCCCCTGGGGACACAGGCACTGGTGGCAACCATTTTTGGGAGTTAATTCTACCACATTGAAACTGGCACTGCAAAGCACCATTTTGGAATCCTCCCTCTAGCTTACTAGGCATGCGACCCAGCCCCAGCCCTATACCCACTCACCAGCCTATAGGCACAAGTACTGGATCACCTCAGATCAAGCAATTAGCTGGGTGGAAATATAACCCCACCTACCAGTAGACAGACACCAGCCCCAGAACAACCACGGCATGCTATGCCAGGACCCAGCCCAGCCACCAGCAGTTGGCAGCAGTCCCAGGACTTGCTGGTCCTCAGCCCCAACCACCAGGGGGACAATAAAAGCTCTGAGACAACTTGGGCCCCTTAGACATTACCCCAGGATCAGGCCACACTTACCAGTGGGCCAACACAACCTTTGGGACACCCCAGGCCCCATAGCCAGCTGTGTCAGGAACCAGCCAACCCACCAATGGTCCAAAACCAGTTCTGAGAACGTAGGCCCTGAGGCCAGAGGCCCCAGGACATGGCTCAGCTAGCCAATGGGCCTGCACTATCCCCATGACCCAGCTTTATCCACCAGTGGGCCTGACAGAGCCCCAGGATCTCCTGTATCCTGATGCTGCCCACCAGCGGGCAGACACCAGCCCCAGGATTCACCCAAGCCCTAGCTCTGTCTACCAGCAGGCCAACACAAGCTTTGGGACACCTTGGACCCCATACCCAACTGTGTCAGGATCCCTCCACCTCCTGCTCAGCAATCTGACGACAGCTCTGAAATTCCTGGGCCCTGTTGTCAGACTCTGGGACCCAGCTCTGCCTGCCACTAGTCCAACACTAACCCCAGAACCTGGCTTCACCCACCAGTGGTAGGGCAACAGCCCTGGAGTCTTATGGACCCTGATTCTGTCCACCAGTGAGCCAGCACTAGGCCTGGGGACCCTGATGTTTTGTAATCTGCTACCTTGTGACCAGGTCCCACTAACCAGCAGCATCTGCACAAGGCAGGTGCCTGGCAACCAACTGGGCTAGGGGCCAACCAAGCCTACCAGACCACCCACATAGCTCACCAAAACTGAAGGACCAATGCAGCCCTCTTAGGGGGAAACTATAGAGCATATAGCATGGGTGACGAGAGGGGAGTGCGCAGTGGGATGCATAAGACATCTCCTACAGGAGACTACTTCTTCAAGGTACAGAAACATAACTAACCTACCACATACATAAAAATAGAAATAGCAACTTAGATAAAATGAGGCCACAAAGAAACATGTTCCAGACGAGGAAACAAGATAAAACCCCAGAAGAACAACTAAGTGAAGTGGAGATAGGCAAGAGTTCAGAGTAATGACTGTAAAGATGATGAAAGAACTTGGGAAAAGAATGGACGTACAGAGCAAGAAGTCAGAAGTTTTTAACAAAGAGTTAGAAAATATAAAGACCAACCAACCAGAGATGTAGAATATAACTGAAATGAAAAATACACTGGAAGGAATCAACATTAGACTAAATGATACAGAGGAACAGATCAGTGAGCTGAAGATAGAGTAACGGAAAGCACTGCTACTGAAAAGAAAAAAGAATGAAAAGAAATTAGGACAGTTTAAGAGCCCTGTAGGACAATATCAAGCACACTAATATTCACACTGTAGGGGTCCCACAAGGACGAGAGAGACAGAGAGAGAGAGAGACTGAAAACATAACAGGTGAAAACTTCCCTAATCTGGGAAAGGAACTGTCACTCAAGGCCAGAAAGTACAGAGTCCCATACAGGATTAACCCAAAGAGAAACCAAGACACACTGTAATTAAAATAACAAACATTAAATATAAAGAGAATATTAAAAGCAGCAAGGAAAAAGCAACAAATAGCATACAACAGAATTCCCATTAAGTTACTGGCTGATTTTTCAGCAGAAACTGAAGGCCAGCCAGAATGGAGTAGAAAGATATATTTAAAGTGATGAAAGGGAAAAAGCTACCACCAAGAATAATCTACCCAGGAAGGCTCTCATTCAGATTTGATGGAGAGATCAAAAGCTTTACAGATAAGCAAAAGCTAAGAGTCCAGCACCATCAAACCAACTTTACAACCAATGTTAAAGGAACTTCTCCTGATGAAAAATGCCACAACTAAAAACAAGAAAATTATAAAATCAAAATGATCAACAAAGGCAAACATACAGAAAATGTAGGAAATCATCCACACACAAAGCTAGTAGGGTGGTAAAAAGACAAAAGTAATAAAATAATCTATAACCACAATGAGCAGTTAAGGGATACACAAAACAATGAGATGTAAAATATGATATGAAAAACAGCAATCATGAAGGAAGGAGAGTACAAATGTAAGATTTTTAAAATGCATTTGAAATTAAGAGCTCAGCAACTTAAATCATACATACACACACACACACACACACACAGACTGCTACATAAAAAGCTCACGGTAACCTCAAAACAAACACCTATAATAGATATACACACAAAAAAAGAAAAAAGAATCCAAACATAACACTAAAGATAGTCATCAAATCACAGGAGATGAGAACAAAAGAAGGGGGGAAAAGACCTATAAAAACAAACCCCAAACAATTAACAAAATGGCAGTAAGAACATACATCTCAATAATTACCTTAAATGTAAATGGACTAAATGCTCCAACCAAAAGATAGAGGGGCTGAGTGGATACAAAAACAAGAACCATATATACGCTCCTACAGAAGACTCACTTCAGATCTAGAGACACACACAGACTGAAAGTGAGAGAATGGAAAAAGGTATTCCATACAAATGGAAATCAAAAGAAAGCTGGAATAACAATACTCATATGAGACTAAACAGACTTTAAAATAAAGACTGTGGGGTGAAGTCAAGATGGTGGACTAGGAGGATGTGGAGTTTGCATCTCTGCATAACTAGGGCAACTGCCAGGCACTGGTAGGGGACCACGGACACCTAAGGGGATGGGAAGAACCCATGAGCAACTGGGTAGGACATGGGGAGGAGGAAGGGGGGAGGATAAGTGGAGGCGAGACAGACCAGTGCCCCTGTGGGGTGGCTGGGGGAGGCAAGGGGTTCCCATGCCCAGAGGGGCCCACCCATGGTTAGGGGATCAACAGGGACGGGGGAGACACTTGGGAGAGTGGATCATCAGAAGGGAACAGGGTCAGCATTTCCCCTGCCCACTAGGGTCCCAGGGAGGCCCAAGTGAGGTTCCCAGGCCTCATCCTCTGCCCTCCAAGACACCCTCCAACTGCGCTGGGCCTACACCCTGCCTCCACGCCCCCAACCATGACCTTACCTCTGAACCCACACTCCAAGGCCCCCCTCCAGATGTGCTGCCTTTCGCGGCTGAGCAGGTCCTGAGCCTAAGCCCCACCACCCCACACTGCCCCCCACAGCCAAGGCCTTTTCTAGCCTTTTTTTTTGGGTTGTGGTTTGGCTTTACCTTGTTGTTCTTTCATCTATATAGATATTTTTCTAATTTTATTTTATTCTTTATACCTTGTTATTGTTCTGCAACTTTTGGCTTGTGCCCCCAGCTTTCTTTTTCTGTTTTTTATTGGGGTGCTGTTTTACCTTGTTGCAGTTGTTTCACTTATATTTTAATTATTCCTGATATACTTTTTATTTTACTAACTGTATTTTACTTTTTATTCTGTTATTCT